GCCTAGTACGCAACATGACTGCACCCTACACTGGGGTTCAATTTCTGGCTTCTGCTCCTGACTCCCACTTCCAGCTGGTACAGAGCCTGAGAGGTAACCCTCCACCCAGATGGGAGGTCTCCCATCTGAGTCTCAAGCTCTTGGCTTCAGCCTTCCTATTGTGTGCATCATCCATAAATCCAATGATTCTTCTCTAATATGGACTTTAAGAAGCACTCCACATGGGTCCAGCGCCTGGCACCACAACTGAGGACAGAGGACAGAACAAATCAACCAACTACCCCAGCCACAGGTTGGCAGTAAAAATCTGGGCAGATGCAGATTCTAAGTTGGACTATGTCAGCCAGTGGATTCTGGAGAGATTTCATCGTGTTTGAAATGGTGAGACTGGCAGCAATTCAGAATTACTGAACTATCAAAACCACTTGAGCAGTGCCCTCAGAGCATGCCCCATGTTGGGGATCCTGGGATGAGTGGGAGGCTGGGTGGGGCTTCTCCCTTTATCTTTCCCCTTATCCCAGAAACAGAAAAAAAATAATATGGAAACAATGGTCTTACCCACTTTCCTGTAGCCCTTGACCATTTGCGCCCTAATCAACTACGTAAAGATTATCAAAATAATAATAAAAAGCCTTACAAAACTAAAACAAACAAGAGCACTACAAACAGGCCCAGCGTTGTAGCCTAGTGGCTAAAGTCCTTGCATGTGCTAGAATCCCAAAGGGGCGCTAGTTCTAACCGTAGCAGCTCCTCTTTCCATCCAGCTCTGCCTGTGGCCTGGAACAACAGTCGAGGACAGCCCAAAGTCTTGCGGCCCTGCACCCATGTAAGAGACCTGGAGGAAGCTCCTGGCTCCTGGCTTTGGATCGGCTCAGCTCCAGCCACTGCAGCCACTTGGGGAGTAAATCAACGGATGGAGGATCTTTCTGTCTCTCCTCCTCTCTGTATATCTCAAGCATTCCTTTTCTAGAAAAGTCTTCCAGATTCCAACCAGTATTTTTATAAAAACAAAACAAAATAAAAAAACTTGTTAATAAAGAAAAAATTCTACTCTTATATAAACTTCCTTTTGTACGTTTCCTAGCATAGCTGTAACTTCACATGTGTGTACCTTTCATTCCTACAAACAGGCTTCATGCCGACCTCCCTTACCTTCAGAGGTTCTTCCTGGGCCATCTGTTCAGTTAGTTTCTCAGTATAGGCATCACAGATCTCAGTCACTTGCACATATCCCTGGAGGCCATTGGGGAGACTGATCACCAGTTCCAGTTCATTCACCTCTTTCACACAACCCAAAATCCGCATTCCCTCACATAAGGACTAGAAGAAGAAAAAAAAAAGTTTACAATATGGACAAACACAATGATAGGAGAGGCTGGGAGATATATGTCTGACTTCTATCTCCAACTCTGACCATTTAAAAGCCACAGATTAGAGCCTGTGTGTGTCATAGCAGGTTAAGCCATTGCCTATAGCACACTGGCTTCAGTCCTGGCTGTTCTGCTTCAAATCTCACTTCTTGCAAATGTGCCTGGGGAAGCAGCAGATGGTCAAGTCCTTGGTTCCTTGCACTCGGGTGAGAAACCCAGAAAGCTCCTCCTGGCTTCCATCCATTTAGGAAGTAAAACAGTAGGTGGAACAGCCTGAGATCTCCCTCTTTCTCCTTCTCTCTCAGTAACTCTGCCTTTCAAAAAAATAAAACCTTTTTTTTTTTCAAGATTTATTTTTCTTTAATTGGAAAGGCAGATATATCAAAAGAAGAGACTTCCATTTGCTGCTTTACTCCCCAGACTTCCATTTGCTGCTTTACTCCCCAAGTGACTGCAACAGCTGGAGCTGAGCTGATCCAAAGCCAGGAGCCAGGAACTTCTGGGTCTCTCACACCAGTGCAGGATTTCAAGATTGGGGCCTCTTCTACCACATTCCCAGGCCACAGCCAGGGAGCTGGATGATAAGTTGAGCAGTTGGGACATGAATTGGTGCCCATATGGGATCTTAGCACTTGAAGGTAGAGGATTAGCCAGCTGAGCCATTGTACCAGCCCCAATAAGTTAAATCAATAGCAACAACAACAGCACTGTAGGACTAGGCAGGGATTTGATACAGTGGTAACACATTGCTTGGGATGCCCACGCTCTATACAAGTACGCCTGTGTTCATGTCCTGTCTACTTCTCATCCAGTTTCGTCCTAACACACCAGGGAAAGGGCAGATGATGGTTCAGGTACTTGGGTTCCCTACCACCCAAAGGAGTTCAACCTAGCCCAATCTCAACTATTGCAGGCATTTACAGAGTGAGCCATAAGTTATACAATATGTCTCTCCCTGTGTAACACTGCATTTCACATATATAAATCTTTAAAGAGTAAATACATTTTCAAAATTTGGGACCAGCATTGTAGCATAGTGGGTTAAACTGTCACCTATGATGTCAGCATCCCATACAAGGCACCAGCTAAAGTCTCAGCTGCTCTACTTCCAACCTAGCTCCCTGCTAATGGTCTGAAAAAACAGCAGAAGATTATCCAAGAGCTCAGGTCTCTTCCACTCAGTGGGAGGCTGAGATGAAGCACCTGGTTTCAGCCTGGCCCAGTGCTGGCCACTGCAGCCACCCAGGAGGTGAATCGGTGGATGGAAGACTGATCTCTCTCTCTCTTTCAAAATAAAAATAACTAAATCTTAAGAAATAGTTCCAGGGCCCAGCGTGGTAGCCTATCGGCTAAAGTCTGTACCTTGAACGCACCAGGATCCCATATGGGTGTCGGTTTTAATTCCGGCGGCCCCTCTTCCCATCCAGTTCCCTGCTTGGGGCCTGGGAAAGCAGTCGAGGATGGCCCAAAGCCTTGGGACCCTGTACCCGTGTGGGAGACCTGGAAGAGGCTCCTGGCTCCTAGCTTCAGATCAGCTCAGCTCTGGCCGTTGTGGCCACCTGGAAAGTGAACCAGTGAATGGAAGACCTTTCTCTCCTTCTCTCATTTACTCTGTAAATCTGACTTTCCAATAAAAATAATAAATATTAAAGAAGAAAAACAAGGAAAAAAACAACAAGATAGTTTGTTCGAAGGAAAAACCAAACTTTGACAAACCTCAACACTAAGGATTTCAAACTTCTCTGTTACAGACTTGTTTTTTTCTCTCTCTTCAGTTTTGAACTTTTTTGTTATTGCTGGCCCTTTCTGGATCTTCTTCCTTTTGGAGGATTTTTCTTCACTGGAAACCTAAAGGAAAAAAAAAAAAAAAAGATCAACAAAGATCCAGCAAACCCTGATGTTTCCATGTTGAAACATCTGTAACCGGCTTTGTCACTCCTGCGCTCTACCCCACTTCCCACCAACCAGTTCCTTCTGCAATCCCAAAGCTTCCATTCAGCCACTGATGCTCCCTGTGGCTCAGTTCCCAGAAACGACCTTCCTCTTCCCCAGTCTCTTCTGTGTTCTTTATCCTATGACCTGGGATAGACATGGAGCTCCAAGGCTGAGAAGCAGTGTGTAACAGCAAATGGAAGTAAGAGCTGGAGTGACAGAGCTCCAAACTGAATCCCCTAGTCCACTTCACCAAGTCACACGACTTCATTAAATTCCAGAAGCTCTCAGGGCCACAGCTCCTCAGCACGGAACCTCAATCTCTGCCTCACAGCATAGCTGGGCAGAGACTGTACAACAGCGAAGTGGCACTTCAAACATAAATTCTAAATGTCACATTTCCAAAGCAGCCTTGTTAGTTATATAACCTAACAAGTTCAATACTCAGAAGTAGAGCTGAACAGAAAAACAGATCTGGAAAGCATGTTCCCAAACAGGGCTCACTCCTCACAACGACTCCAGCAAGTTTCCAATGAATTTCCCTAAATAAGCATTCCACTTACATCAAATAAATTGTCTTGTTCAGCGGCTTGTTGGAACGATTTCTCTGACTTGTGATCGGATTTCTTTCTTGTACCCCCTCGAGGGAAGCTTTCTTCCAGGGCTGCCATGTTTAAAACTCCTAAAAACAATGTAAAGAACAGTGGTGTGTCACAGTCCTGGTGGCAGATTTTATTAATGCTTTTAAGACTATGTCCTTGATAGCTGCATGTCAGGCCCTGGATGCTTAATTTTTTTAACAGTCTGTGCTTCAAAACCAGATACCACCTGCCAAGAACAGTTAGTTGTCTTATAGATTTAAGGCTGTAAATACACACGGCACAGCTTTGAAGTCAGACACACAAATCAATATAGAACTTCCTACCTTCAAAGAACACACATACTTTTTTGCAATATAAAATATCAACTGGAGGAGCAAGTGTTGTGGTACAGCACATTAATCTACCACTTGGGATTAACATATTAAGAGTGCCAATTCAAGTCCCAGTTATTCCACTTTCAGTTCAGCTTCCTGATAATGAGGGCAGCTTCCCTGTCAACCACACACAAAGTCTGCATGAAATTCCTAGTTCCTCCCCTCAGTCTGGCCCAACCATGACTTCCGAAGGCATTTGCAAAGTAAACCAGAGGATGATGATCTCTCCCTCTGACCTTTTTCTTAAATAAATAAAGCAATTCTTTTAAATATAATTGGGTTATAAACTTCCAATAAAGCATTAGCATTGTCAGAGCTGCCTCATGCAATGCTGACATCCCATCTAGGCACCAGTTCAAGACCTGGCGGCTCCACCTCTGACCCAGCTCACTGGGAACATGCTCAGGAAGGCAGCAGAGATGGCCCCCTATCACCTAAGTGGGAGATCTGGAGGAAGCTCCTGTTCCTGGCTCCAGCCATTTGGGAGCTGCACTGAAAGTGGAACAGCTGGGACAGGAACTGACACCTGTACAGGATGCTGCAACGCCGTGGAATCAGGGACAAGTCAGAAGGAACGCAAGCAAAGGCACAGAAACAGAGAAAGCCTACTATTTCAATAAACACCCACAGTTCATGTAACAAGCAATCACTCAAAAGCTCGCTGCTACTTTTCTTTGATTAATGTTCAACTGTGGCTAACTCTGAATGATCAGGGAGGCTTTTAAAAAAATTATCTGGAATTAGATACAAAAAAGTTACTTTGTTCTGTAGGCAGAGGAAGTATCAACATAGTAATATTAACATATTAACAACAAATATATGTATGTATTTGCTCACTGCAGGTTGAACTAGACAGAGAGACCCCCAAGGGGGAAAAAAAAGGGGGGGGGCAGAAGGGTTCAATATAACACAGCAGACAAACCCTGAGAACCAGGCACGGATATCGAGGGAATAGCACATGGGAAAGTTTCGTTCTGACAGTAAGAATGCAGAAGGGCCTGCGAAGGTAAGAGGATTTGGAACTAGAAACAACCTGTGCAAGAGATCCAGCCCGCTGCGAACTCGGCTCATAACTTCCTTTCACAAGAGAGGAAACCGAGGTCCCAAACAGTGAGGCAGAATGAGAGAAGGAACTTGGGTTAATTCCCGAGGATCGAGCCCGGGGTTTTCAGGAGCGCCTTAAGCAGAAAACAGCTTCGGCGTGAGGCTCAAGTAGCCCAATCACCCATCCCACATGGCCAGTGCTAGACGGAGACGCGGGGCACTCAGCGCTGGGAGTGAGGTTTCCTTCCCTCCAGCCCCCAGCCCTCATTCACCTGACCCGCCCGGCAACAGCACCTCCAGCTCCGACCGGCGCGGCTTGATCACCCACGAGGAGCCGGACACTCACCCACTGCTAGGCATGGGCGGGTTCCGCGCGCCGCTTCCGTCACCAAGCGGCGCCCAGCAGGCGAGTCGCAGACAGGAAGCGGAAGGGCGGGACCTGAAGCCGTTGCCAATCAATCTCTGAGGCGGAGGAGGAGGGTCCTTCCGGCCGGGCCCAGGGCGCTCTCTGTGCGCGTTGAAGGACGTCGGCTTCGGGCTTGGCGGCTTCGAGAAGGTGGGTGAGAGGGATCTTCTGGGTCGCACCTTGCGCCTCCTCTTCGCCTGGAACCTGCCAGTGTCTTTTCTTGGGAGTGGGCATGGCGACGATGACGGGCGGGGGAGCGGGGAAATGGAAGGGGGCTGGGGAAGATGAGGTTCGGAGTGTTATCAGGGAAATCTCGGGACGAGGGGGACAGTGACGAGAGGACAGACGCTCCTCAAGGTCTCCCCGCTTCCAAAGACCGTTAGATTGCCCTTTCTAGCGGAGAAGGAGGCTAGCTGCGAAAAGGTCCCCCAAGGTCATCCGGCCTAGGACTATGACCCGTAATGTGGCCTCAAGAACCTCCTCTCTGTGTGCCCCGAAGTTAATTTCGTTTTTTCATCGAGCAGTGCTTAGGGAGCCGGGCCTCCTTGGCCGCGTCGCATCCCCTGCCGGAGCGAGACAGACCAGGGGCGGCGAGCATCCGTTGGAGGCAGAGGGATCCTTGCCTAGCAGGTGGCTAGAGGGGGGCGGCTCCCCGTGCCCGGTGGGGGTGACCCGACAGGGCAGAAGAGGAGCATCGGGGAGCGAGTAGCAAGGGCGCCTATTCACAGTGGCCCTCCAAGGAAAGGAACCGGTGCACAGTGGAGAGGGGCATGGCGGGGACACGAGCATGTCATCTGGTTATCAGAGTCGTCAGACACTGAAGTGAAGACCCTCTTCGCCGTTTAACGTTAAATCCCAGGGATGGGCCTTGTTGTCTTTCATGAGTATGGATTTCTGAATTTTGTGTGACTCGTTGATGTCAGTTGTTCCACACGTGAGGATTTCTGATCTTTACCGTCAGGTAGCCTGCAGTTTGCCTAAGGTTACAGACCCGCAGGATTTCAGACTATACGCTGTTCTTTCTGTCACTGGCACCGTTCCCACTGCCTGCCATCGCAGCCGCAAGCACCTAGACGCAGCCTGGGTTCCTATACACACCCTTTCGTGCTGTCAGAATTAGCCTGCCGGGGACTGTCTCCAGCATCAGCCTGTGTCTTTTTGTGTACATTAGAAAGGCAAGGCACATTCATTTTGTTTTATTTGAGACCATTGTTGAATCGGGGCAGGTAAGACACTGCTTGTGACTCCCTCGTCCCACATTGGAGAGCTAGCCAGCATCCTGGATGCTCTGCTTCCACACTTGTTCCCTGATGCTCCTGGGAAAGCAGCGGGGGATAACCTAAGTGCTCGGGCCTTTACCACCCAGGTGGGAGGCTTGGATCCAGTTCTAGGCTTCCAGCTTCCAGCCCCTTGACCATTGCAGCCATCTGGGGAGTGTATCAGCAGATCAAAGCTTTCTGTTGCTTTTTTCTGTAAAGAAGGTATGTGTATGGATGGAAAAAAAGGATGTAGAGAGTGAGTTAGTTTGACTTGGACACTGCATCTTTTAAAGAGGTAGGCGAGGTGCAGGACACTGGCATTTTATGATTTGGACAAAGCGAAGCCCTGTATTGCTAGACTTTCTCGCAGAAGCCTACTCCATAGCCTAAGATTCCGCAAATGAATCATGAAATGGAGTGAGCATTCCTTTAGTTTTAGTAAAATGAAACTATTTATGTAAAAATCGCAACAAAAAGGTTTAACTTAATGAGTTTTAAAAAAGATTTATGTATTTTTATTAGAAAGGCAGATGCACAGAGAAGAGGGATGGGCCCAGCGGCGTGGCCTAGCAGCTAAAGTCCTCGCCTTGAATGCGCTGGGATCCCATATGGGTGCCGGTTCTAATCCCAGCAGCTCCACTTCCCATCCAGCTCCCTGCTTGTGGCCTGGGAAAGCAGGGGAGGATGGCCCAAAGCTTTGGGACCCTGCACCCGTGTGGGAGACCTGGAGGAAGTTCCTGGTTCCTGGCTCTGGATTGGCACAGCACTGGTTGTTGTGCTCACTTGGGGAGTGAATCATCGGAGGGAAGATCTTCCTCTCTATCGCTCCTCCTCTCTGTATATCTGACTTTGTAATAAAAATAAATAAATCTTAAAAAAAAAAAGGTATACAGAGAAGAGAGACAGAGAGGAAGATCTGTCCAAGGGCCACAAGGCCAGAGCTGAGCCAGTCCGAAGCCAGGGAGCCTGGAGCTTCTCCCAGGTCTCCCATGTGGGTGCAGGGTTCCAAGGCTTTGTGCTGTTCTCGATTGCTTTCCCAGGAAACAAGCAGGGAGCTGGAAGGAAAGTGGAGCAGCAGGGAGAGGCATTGGCGCCTATATAGGATCCTGGTGCTTGAAAGGCAAGGATTTAGCCACTAAGCTTTCGCACCAGACCCTGATGGGAATTTTCATAACTTGGGCTTGACTCGTCAAGGCTACTGAAGAGGCCTGAGAAAGATGGATTTCCTTTGTTGGTCTAAGAAATGGTGTTCAAAATTAAGGTCACTTGTCTTGAATTTTCCTTGCCAGTTCTTTTCACATGAATGCCTCTGAAGGCTCTTGAATGGTAAAAGGGAAACACTGGTTTCCACAGCAACAGCTCTCGCTGCTCACTCGCCTTCCATTTCATCAAGAGCCAGCTGAGTCCTTGCCACTGCCCACCAATCTCAGCCAGCCCGTCTGTGTTGCCAGAGGACTCAGTGTTGCGGCCTTTGTGGTAGATTGGGGATCATGCAAAGTTTCACCTGTTGCTCTAGTAGCCTTTTCAATCAGTGTTTACCGTTTCTTATTAGAAGACTGTAAGATTCACAGGTGCTTGTGGATTGGACCCTTTGTGAAAATTTGCTGTATGTTTTTTCTTTTTTCTTCCTATATAATTTTTAAATCTCTTGTTTCTTTCCAGTACTGAATTGTTTCCCAAAATTTGATGTGCATCAACATTTAGAGATTTTATTAAAATACATTGCTGGGTCCTGGAGGTTTTTGTTCAGGAGGCTTGGGAAGCACCTGAGATGTTGCATCACCTGGTTTTTGGTGATTCTGATGCCGTTAGTCAAAGGACCCAACTTTGAGCCATTGGTAGATCCCATAATATCTAAAGATAGGATTCTTACATATTTAACATCGCTTGGGGGGCTCTTTCCGTGTCAGTGCACAAACATGCATATACTTTGTATTTTGTACCATAGTTTTTCTTTTTTTTTTTTTTTTGCTTTCATAACAGTATTTCATTGGTCATCCTTGAGCAGTATGATGTGTTTCCACCTTGTAATGTTTTTATAAAGGTTAATTCCTTGAGAGAAAGGTATCCTCATTTTATAGGTAGATATTTCCTCCAAGTTTAACTTTAGGGAGGTTATGCCCATTTATGTTCCAAATATGAGAAAATGTTTATTTTCCCACATTCTTATTATACTACTAATTGTCATAATTTTATCTTTGTCAGTTGGTTAAATGTTGGGGAGGTTTTGTTTGGTTTTTTCTATTTCTTTGCCTATTATGAAATTGTCCTTTAGGGTTTTTTTGTTTGTTTGTTTGTTTGTTTTTGGCAAATTCTTTGTCAGATGCTAAAAATATTTGCCAGTATGTTCTTCAGGGACTTTTACTTTCACCATTTGCCTTTAGATCTTTTATTTTGGTGTGATAAGGATTTCATCTTCCTTACCACAATTTACAAAATGATCCCTTATCAAACCTTCTGCTCTGGAAGCCTTATGTGTCAGTGTGTCAAGTGGAAAAGGTACAATAGTAGGAGTTATGTGGGTTGGGGTTTTTTTTTTCCCCCTTAGGAGATTATTTTACTGAGAGAGGTCTTCCATCCACTGATTGATTCCCCAAACTGCCCAACAGCCAAAGCCACTTCAGTAAAGCCAGAACCTTCTTTCAGGTCTTCCACATGGGTGCAGGGGACCAAACACTTGGGCCATTTCCAGCTGCTTCCCCAGGCCCAATAGCAGGAAGCTGGATCAGAAGTGGAGCAGCTGGGGTGCAAACTGGCATCTGTATAAGATGTTGGCACTCTAGACAGTGCCATGGCTCCAGTTCAAAAGCTTCAATTTTCTGTTAATGATACATCTTTTTCAATTTCATTTACTTATTTTAATATTTGTTTTTTTACTTGATCTTCTATTTGCTGGGTCATTCCCATATGGCCATAATGGCTAGAGCTATGCCAGTCAGCAGGAGTCGTGGGGTCTCCTACGTGGTTGCAAGGTCCCAAGGACCTGGGCCATCTGCTGCTTTCTCAGGCGCATTAGCAGGGAGCTGGATCAGAAGTGGAGCATCCAGGACCCAAACCAATGGCCTTATAGGATGTTGGGACCAAAGGTATAGGCCTGACCACAGTGCAGCCCCAACCTCTGGGTTTCAACTAATCTTGGTAGCGCCAGGAATGAAAATGTTTACCTAGTTATGGCAGAGAAGAAGGTGAGCTTAGTGTTTACTATATGGTACTCCTACTTGAAATGAGTTGACATATTGATCCTGGAATGTTGGTAAAGATAGCAGCTGAGAAAGTTTTACTTTTGAAAGCTTCTGTCATAAGCAGGGCCCTTCCCACCATCTATGCTACTGTTTTGTTAGGTGACCTAGAAATAAAAATTGACAATATTTAACTGCACTGACTAAGCTGTTAAAATTTGAGAAGAAGTTCCCCCTAACCAGTTTTTTTTTTCTTTTTTTTTTTTTTAAGATTGACATCATGGCAGGTCCAGAAACTGATGCCCAATTCCAGTTCACTGGAATCAAAGTATTTCAACTCTTACACGCTCACAGGCAGAATGAATGTAAGTATTCACCCTTTTAAGCAGTTACATTTTAGATAAATACAGTTGTAACAACTCTCGGCATTCACTTTTCTTTCAGTGTGTACTTGCCACCTATGGAGGCATTGCTTTGCTGGTTATGTACTTCAAGTTAAGGTCTAAAAAAACCCCAGCT